CAGTTCCGGAACGTCTTAGGTTCTCTAGAAGCGTTAGCTCGCCCCTGTTGCTCACACCATCCCAACACTCGAGCAGAAAGCGGGCATCAAGCGCCCGGCGTCTTTGGCGGTCTAATTCCTCCAATTTCTTTCCTGTCTCGACAGCCATATTTCCGGTGCCCCCGGCAAGCTCTACACCTGATAGCCCGGCACCATTAAGCGAGGTGTCGAGCTGCTGAAAAGACTCGATTGTCTGTTTTAGCTTCTTACCCAGTGTATTGAGGTTCTGGGAATGCTGTGCCTCAGCCCTGCGAACTGCTGCAGACAGTTCATTTTCTCTGATCTCTAGGTCGCCGGAGATTTCACCGAGGCGCCGCTGTGCGTGCTCAAGTGTCCTGATAAGTGGCTTCGGGTCAAACGGTTGGTTTCCGGTTGTAGGCGTGATTGTAGAACGACGATTCGAAATGGCGGAGTCCGACAGCGCCTCGATAAACTCCTTAACAATGAAGTCGCGACTTGAGAAGTCCTCAAGGGTGAAGCTGGGACCTGTTGGGAACACTGATCGAGATGCAGCGTTGAGTGGGGTAATCGAGGACGCATCGTCCGGCATCTTTATAACTAAAAGCCGGGTCTATCTGCATTGATATCAGCATGGATTGTTGTGCAATCCGGACTTCACGGTGAGCGTCAACCGATGCCCTTGATTGCGCCGTGAATGCGGAGAGAAGAGCAACAAGAATTACGGGGCAGCCCAACTACGGAGTACTAGATAGGTGGTCCATTATCGGGAGGACGGGATAGATGGGTTTCTGGTCTAGCGGATTACATAACTGCATAGCTTCAATAAGCTAGCTACTGAAAGACGCAATAAACATTACCACCTCCCTGCCAAAATTCAATTTGTTGAATGCCTTATATCTGCTCTAATTATCTGATCTTTCTTGTAACTTCTTATCCCTAGTAGTGGTATGCTAGGGTGCAGTAGGACTATTCAGCACTCTGTTATGACTATCAGTGTTACCAACGAGGAGAAGTAAGAACATATTTCGAATAAACCCAGGGGATCTAGTAGATAAACATGGTGTATCAAGCTGCACCGAGGAGTACTATTTCTTCACACAGCATCCATAGTCCGGGTCCTTCTTATCAACCAATAGTCACTAGTTCTAGGATGGCCGTTGGTACTGATATCGCAGGACTAGATATATATTTAGATCACCTTACGGAGTAGACTGGCGCATCGATACTAGCACTGCCAACTTGAATGCCATGTGCATGGATACACCTATCTTTACACACATTGTATGAATATGGAGTATTCCGTATTCCAGCTAGTTACCGATCTTGTACAGAGGAGCACTTGGGATTTCCCAAGCTCGAATCGAATCCGGTCCTTGGGACCCACCACTACCACTGCCACCGCCGCCTGGACTCCCGAACTACTGTCTAATACCCATACGAATTACATCTCCTTAACATAATCAAAACATCTGGGAGTAACCCTGCGCTAGCGCTCACAGATAATAAAACATGGTTACGCAGCGTGATAGAGAATTGTTCAGGGATGATATTCGCTCTCGAGGAACGAAGCTCAATGCTGCTGAGCGCGAGAAACTGCTAAGGCCATATCTGCCAGACCCGTCTGATCTTCCACGCAGACCAACTCAGCGGCGCAAGAAGGTTCCTCGAAAGACACCAATACGGACGTTTATCAAGTCGCAGCTGCATCTACTCACATACGCCGTTGTTCACATCATCTTTGGGATTTTTTCTCGTCTTATTTTGAGCTACCATGCTGTTGTGGATCGAATCTTCGCCATCGTCTATTACCATCACCGAACTCCAGAGTTAATACGAAAGGATGTGAAAGGCTTGAAGCGCTTACCCGAACATCTGAGCGTCATATTATCGCTACGCAAAGAAGACGATGCCCTAGCAATTTTGATGGATGAAGTGGCGGAACTTTCAGCCTGGAGCGTGAGTTCTGGGATACCTGTCCTAAGTGTCTACGAGAAGACCGGTAAGTGATGGCTTCAGACCCCTAAGACCTCTACGTATACGATAAGAAAGGGGAAAAAAAAAAAAAAAAAAAAAAAAAAAAGGAAAAGAAAAAAGATAAGGAGGCAAAGACGCCAAGAAAAAATAAAAAAACGGCATACCACGCCATCGGAACATTGAGGTGTGCAGTATCTTCAACATCAGATAATAGGTATCTGTCTGACCAGCCCTGCAATCCGCCGCCACTTTTTACCTGCAAGGCTCTGCAGAAAAAAAAAAAAAAAAAAAAAAAAAAAAAATGGAAGGCAAGGTTGGGGCTAACAACTTATGCATCTATATAGGTATCTTGAAGTCCTGCATCCCCGTCCTTCACCAAGCTATCACGAGCAAGTTGTCATCTTACTATGGGTCTCCGGCGCAGCAACCTACACTGCGGCTGTTTGCTCCTCACCACCCTATCTATAATACACAGCAAGATGTTCCGCCGTCTGACAGACACAACGCTAGTTCTCTCACAGTGCTTCTCCTGTCTGCGACTGATGGCAGGGAAACGTTTGTTGACTTGACCAAGACCCTGGCGGAGATGTCACAAACTGGTAAATTGTCCCCAGAGGACATTACTATGGAATTGGTCGATGCAGAGATCAGTGAGATCACCACTCAGCCAACCCAACCGACAGCACCTGTCAATCAAGGCAGCACAAGAATGGGCCTCAGCCGTAATGCCTCCCTAGTGAAGCCTGAGCCTGATCTTCTGCTTGTTTTTGGTCCGTTCTTGAAGTTGGATGGATACCCGCCTTGGCATATCCGCCTCACCGAAATGTACTGCACCGGCGGTAGGAATAGTGGGATAACGAATTCCGACGAGGCTGTTGAGTACCACGGGTTCCTCAGGGGCCTCTGGCACTACGCCGGCGCTCAGATGAGGTTTGGCCGTTGATGGCAATACCTTTCTCGTGACTGTCCAAAGTGACCCTTATTATTTACTGGAGTCTTATTCCATGATCTATTTCTTGAAAGAGAGTAAGCAGGCACTAGTCTCAGCATATCTATAAATGGATAATCGTATTATACGTCCCCGAGAATAAGATACGTGGGGTGCGAGAATCGATTAGACATGGCAATAACTGGTAATGCCCCAATGAGGTGCAGCGTTGGCTAGAGAACATACAACCAGTCTTTTGGTGTGCTTCGTCGCTGTACATCTGCCCCATCAACCATTGCCATTGTTTGTAAGTACCAGGAAGTATGGGGATGCCTCATGATATAAGTCATTATTACTTAGTCTGCTAAGTTGGGTATCAAAATTTCTATCTTCTATAATTACACATTAGTGGTTCGGACAGAGTGTCTTTCGAGAAAAACCTCAATGAGTCCGCCAGCGGATAACAGACCACTGTCTCACGTTATTCAAGCAGGGTCTGTTCCAAGGCCGCATGAAGCTCTCCTAGTCTAGATGAAGAGCTTGCCATTGGGATTGGAGGCCTTGTACACATTCAAGGCATCTTGTTACTTCTTTTCCCGATTCGGTGACACCTTCGACCGCACAGGCAGAGCAAACTTTTCGTGCCCGCTCTGTCTGCCATTCGTCGTCGTCCGGCCTTTCTTGACAGCCGCTTGTAGGGGTCCTGAGTAACCCACTGCAGTCTACAGAGTCACAATGCCGTAAACAAATGTAGCAGCTCCTCCCACCACAAAGATCACAGTCTGCATAGGCGTCAACATATTCTCGAGTGGTCGGTCTCCGGTGGCAGATATGACATGGGCGGAGACAGGACGCAGATGCGAATAGTGTTTGCGGTTGCTGATATGGGGTCGGGGGAATTGTTTTAGGAGACACGGGCGGAGAGCTGACTCCAGAAATGCAAGTGTCTTGCGACGAATCCGACTGTAGCATGTGAGAGATACCGTCTGTGAACGGTGGCTTATGGTAAGCAGGTGGCTGCTGGAAGACTCGTCGTTTCCTGTGGAGACATCGCTGGCGCGTGAAGACCCCTGCGCTGTCGCCTAAGCATGCTGTATTGTCTAAGCAGAATTGCGGGCTCGTATCATGAAGGGCCGATGAGGTAAGCCTTATTTATCAATGATATGAGTTAGCCACTTCCTCTGATTGCATTCAGCGATACAGGCCGCTTCATTGTTAAGATTACAAACCTGTTTGATAGAGCTGGAGTAATATCTTCCAGAGCTGTTTCTCTTTTTCGCTTTCTTATGTTTTGGGCCGTGATAGAGGCATTGCATTGAACGATTGGGAGGTGTGGCATGGGATCATAAACTGTCGTCGCTGTACAATATTCGGACTGAATTGTCGGCGGAGGAAGATAGAATGTCATGAAGCAAGAAAGGAAAGTGGCCACAACATTAAGAATAAAACCTCGATGAATGCAAGCTGTTATGATGCAGGAGAAGAAGAAGCCACCACAAGGTAAAGGGCGAGGGTGGCCTTCGATGAATGAAACAACAAGGACGCTTGATAGTTATCTCACTCAAATCAGGTGAAACATTCCATGTGGTTCTGAAAGATCCCGGTGCGTGGCAATTGTTGCTATTTTCCACCTGAATAAACAGCCTTGTAAGTAACAATGGATTGAAGCCAGTAAGGGTAGCCTAAAGCGGACTAGAAATTGCTGGCTACTAAATTATAATACTTAGTGCTTTGCAATTCCATTTATAGCAAGACTAATCTTATTCATGCGCCCCAATTGTACTTCAAAAAGTGCTGCACACTACCCTTCGGCTAGTATGACTATCCCCGACGTGGCCGACTGAGGAGGCTGTAACAAGAAAGCCTCATCATGCAACAATTATGTACTAGAAGGGAGTCCTTCTGCGCTATGCTTTTATGCCTAAGGAAGTAGCCGTGCGGTACAGATGGGAATATCTAACCAAGTGACAGACTACTACATAGCAATACTACTACGTCCATATGACATTGCGGAACGGCCAAATACTGATCACGAATCGTTCTTACATTCTCCTCACTAGAATATCTAACATTATTTTAGAGATACTGTATATAGCCGGTCTCGGTGGCGCAATTGGTAAGCGTGATCCCAGAGAATTTTCACCCCGATGAGTAGATTACTAACACCTAGAAAAGGTTAGCGCGTACGACTGTTAATCGTGAGGTTGAGAGTTCGATCCTCTCCCGGGACGTCTTTTTTTTTTCGACGATCTTTATGAACTCTATCTACATCCTGATGTCCCCTTCTACCCCATTGTATACAAACAAGTGCTCACTCGCATCGAAACTATGGCACTGAAAGTCTCTTTATTCTCCGCCTGAATTCAGTAGTGGATTCTCGTATTTTTTGACGAAAGTGGAAGCAAAAGCAACTATCTACTTTGTTTACTCTATATCAAGTTGCGTGTCTTCCAAAGCTGTGTCTAGGAGGGAACGAACGTCTGAGATATATGCACTGAAGCGTAGTTATGAGATAGAGCGTACTCCGTAAAATAGACCAATACACAGTCCAGTTGCCCAATGCTTAGGTTGTTACCCCTGCAGATCTTAGCCTGCCATATCATCCTGCATGAAATATCAATTTGCAAGTGTTGAATGAACATCGTTGTAATTCCAGGCCCCTCACGTACAAGTGAACCAATGAATCTATCAAATCGTTTGAATGTTCCTCCTTTCAAATAGCCGACATTTTCCAATGACCGACCCCTCCATAATGACCGAGAAACCAGCGTACTTAATTATCTGCGTAGGATGGCAAGGAGATGCCAAGGATATTTTCGGGCCCCTTTTAGATATCCGCTCGAATTTGTGACGCACTGTCTCCCCTGATTGCAGGTTACAGCTAAATACGAGGTCATGTAAAAATGATCATTTCGCCAAAGCTCCTTGATCGCCACCCAATTCACTTGATGGAGTAGATGACAGCAATTGGACCTTTACTCCCGGCCCCTGGCCCCCGATACGCAGATACACAAGTAGTCAAGTTTAAATTATATCGCAGGTCAGCTACATATCCTGGAGTCCATTAATGGGTCGAACTTGCCCGGTTTCGATCTAGTCCAAGTGCGGAGTTCCGTTATTGGATCTCTTGGCAACCCACCCTCCCTTATTCTCTTTCAACCGGTGGAAGGTGCTGATTCCCTTGAGCCTCGTTTCCTGAAGTCCTTACAGGGCCATGCCACTCGGAATCTACAGCTTGTATGAAAATTGGTCAGAGAACGGGTACGGCTACTGATTGGCATACCCTCGCTTTGACGATTGCCCGTGCTCTATTGCGACCGGAGGGGCCACATTACTACTACTTCCCATCATGGAAACCAGCATCTCTGAGCTGGTTGAGAGGTTAGGAAGTGACGAAGATGCGGTGCGCAAAATGGCAGTTTTTAAACTCCAAGGGAGTATTGGGGATCCCTCCTTTGCCGATAATTTCATCGCAGAAGGTGGACTCACTAGGTTACGCTACTTGACTCTGCATGCAAGTGGTAACACCTTGGCATATAGCCTCACAAGCTTCGCCAGAATACTAGAAGTTGACAAAGGCTGGGATCTAGTAGACCAAGACATGGTTGAAAGAGTAGGTAACATGAACAAGCTCTCCGTCTTTTTTAAAACATACTCCCGCAAACCACCTTATATAGTAACATACTGATATATCGTACCGTCTTTTCTTTCCAGGTTGTTGAACTCATAGTGACTCACCCATTGGTTAACATCCTAAGGGGTGCAATGTCTATATTAGTTTCCATAGTGTCACATCCTTACTCAGGTAATCACTTATCACAAGATGGAAACTTTGGCTTTCGTGCATTGAAGCCCGCAATTGCCATTTATCCGCAATTCCTGGAAATGCTTGTCAATAGACTTTCGTCTGCAGACCATGCCCTCTGCGCAAATGCACTTCAGTTGATTAATTCGCTCATGCGCGACTCTATCACGAATGAGGCAGATACGGAGTGGCCAAAGTTTATTCAAAAGCTGCAAGATCTCGGTGTGATCAGAGCAGTCTATTCCCTCATGCAAGGTACTGCACTGCAGGATCACGTGCACCCATTAATAGAATTTCAGTCTCTTACCAAAGTTCTTCTGAGGAAATGGAGAGAGATACCCTTGGATCTGGAGAGGCCAGAGCACAGGAGAGCCTTGAAAGGGATCTATGTGGCTAGCTCGCATGAGCGGAGCCAAGAAAAGGGCATCGAGAATGGTGATGAGATGAAACAGTCTAAGAAACACAGTTCTGAGAAGTGGAGGCGTCTTGGTTTCGAGACGGAGAGTCCTTCGATGCAGTTTGAGGATACCGGGTTCTTGGGCATGATGGATTTGGCAGACTATGTCAGAAATCATCAAGATGAGTTCCAAAAAATGCTCCTGGAGCAGTCCACGAAGCCTCCTCAGCAGCGATGTCCCATTGCCCGTGCCTCACTGTCAGTCACTTCGATCTTATACCAGCATTTTGAGGTGGACAAATCGGAAATGGATGATTCCAAGGGTTATCTTCTACTAGAGTCTCGCTCTAACCTTGACAAGTTGTTTGAGCCTCTGCTGTTGCATTGGACCAGATTGCATGTAGCAGGATTACATGCTTTCTTTCGTCTATGGAAGGCTACCGGAGCGGAAGTCGAAGATTACGGAAAGATCGTTGAGCTTGTCCGAATCCTGATCGAGTCTGTTGTTGGTGGAGCACCTCGGACAAAGGATGTGCAAGAAGTGGAAGAAGAGTTGACCAATTTCGAGTATGGTCGGCTCCGCGAATTGCAAATGGAGTTGTTGGGGCTCACGTATGAAGATGCCTGGGGCCAACACCTGCAGCAGATGCGCGAAGAATTGTATCACGAAGCACTTCAATTTGTTAAAGAACAGAGAATCCGCTGTCTGTTGCACGGCGCATGGTTCCTCAACGAGGGCTCTGATAGCTCAGACGTGGGAACCGAGCAACGCTCATGGAAATATGCTCAACTTTCGCACAACAGGAGGTTCTTACACTTTGGTGATTTCAATTCCATTCTTGAGAGGTGTCCAGAGCTCGATACTTTACCCCAGAAGAGTAAGTTTGCTTCGTTGATGTCGATGCGTGGTCTCTTCTATTCTGGATTCAAAGACTGACTGCGCTTTACTACTTCAGTCGACCTCTCATCGGTATCTTCAGTGGTCTCTAATGTCTCTGCTTCATCCAACGATCAGTCAGCGGAGCCTGCAAAGGACATGTCTCATGCTGTATCTTATACTAAGATTACCGTGCACGGCTACTCGCAGCCTGTACACGGGACTGGGGACATCCAGAAAAGTAATGGCCATCGCCGAACCTCGAGCAGATCAGTGCAAGGTGAATCTGCGCTGTTGAGTTTCTGTCCACAATCAACCAGTGTCGCATCTGAATGGCTTGATGGTTTGCTTATGCTTCTCAACCAGCAGCCTATAACTGCAGAGACAAACAAGCTTATAAGTTTGGTCAGCGATTACGGGCTCAAGATCCGTTTGTTGAATGTTCGCTTTGATGATGTGGCCTTCGCGGGTGAAGCGCCCCAAGTTCCCACGCGAGATGGCCTTGATGACAATTACTACTATGACGTCTTTGGTGGCTCATAATACCGAGCTCCTTTTCGACACTGACACTGTTATTCAAAAACAAATATTTGCGAGACATCTCCATCCATGTGGAGGGTGTTTTGAGTGACGATAATGTGGATGTACAGGGGCTACCGAATCGGTTGGAATATTTATTAGTACTCTTCGGCGAAATCAGCTGCTAGAACACTGCATCTTATATACTCGAACTAATATGCTCTGTAGATAGGGAATATGTGGTATTTTTTTTTCTTTCTCTTTTCCCTCTGTCCATGAGCCTTTTCCCATCGTCCATTTCGATTGTCTCGTGTAATCCTCGGCTTAATCTCTAATACCTGCAAATGAGTTACTTCAAGAACAGCGACATGTAAGCTCCGCTTAAAAATTCCGCCGGGCTCAATGTGATCATGAGCGGGGGAAGTCATACAATGATACAGTGCATTGGTCATCTAGTTTGGGTTAATAGTTATCTCTAATCTGTGGCGCTAAATAAGCACATGCCAAACTACAAAGGGACACAGACGCGTCCGCGTCCAGACACTGGCCCACCAAGTCATACCAGATAAAGGCTAATGCGGCGGGCGAGAGGCTCGTGCGCGCAGAAAGTGCAGTACCTAAGCTCTGTGTAGGCGGTAACGAGTAGCAGGAGTTCGATTCCGCATTGCAACATTCCACCTATATCATACAGCTTCCTTTTTATACTTCTATGTCAGCCTCTAGCTCGACATATCAATGTCAAAAGTGGATCTTGCTCAGTGACTCATCTGCTTTCTCGCATCCATCATATCAAATGGTCATGAATTGCTTGTCCCATCGCGAAAAGTCAGCGGAATTAGCTAGACTGTCATTCGATCGGGAGGCCCAGGATTCAGATTAAAGTGTTGCTTACCTGCCCTTCTCGATTGTACGGAGCACCACAGCCAGTTCTAAGTCTCTTCATTGGCTCCGGACTATTTACCTTGCAGACCGCGAATAAGCAAGAAAAATGAAACGCAAGCATTCGTTGGATGCTACAAAGACGAATAATTCCCTACATAGCTTCTATGGCCCCGCAAACCCCAAACAGCAATTGCCTGCGCGAGAAACTGGCGATAGGCAAGATCTAGAATCTACAGATGGGAAAGAAAGCAGCAACGAAATAATTGAAGATGATTATGATTCGTTTGATGAGATATTCACGCGCCACATCACCTTCGATACTGATACTCTGGCGGGCGGTTGGACAACTCCCTCGGACCAAAATGATTCAACTAAAACTTCCAAACCTAGACAACGATCTGCTGGGATGGCCAATCGGTTTCTCATTTCCACCGAGCAGCCTAAATCCAGACCACGTTCTTTACAACCCGCTCATAGAACCTTGCCATGGGCGCAGCAGTTTGCTCCATCCAGTATAGAAGAATTGGCGGTTCACCACAAGAAAGTTTTTGATGTGAAAAGCTGGTTAATCAATACATTTGCCAGAGGGGAGCGACAGGTAAGCTACCAGCCTTTCTCTCCCCTCACTTTGTTTCTTGTCCTTTCCATTCGTGCATTTTTCCATATCAGTTGAAGGAAGAATTGTCTAGCACTATGCTTCGCTACATTGATTCCTTTCTGACAGAAGACAAGCTACTTGTCCTTCGAGGTC